TTCCTTTTCTTTTAAACTAGAGTGCAATGGATCAAGAGAACATATATTTTACTGTAATAAATCTTACCTCAATACGGGTTTCAGATACCTAATAAAAAACCTGACTGTGATATATGAAGGTATCAAAAAGATAAGACTAGTTATAGAACTTAGAAGTCGACAGCTAATTGTTTACACTACAGTAATCATTTCAATGAGATAAGAAAACAACAATATGTGTCTATTGGAATACATCTTTTAAAAGATGGAAATCAATGCTGAAAAGAATTAGTGTACAAATAACCTTTCCAAATAAGTCTTCATTCATGATCTTAAGGCATGGGTCTTGATCTGGAGTATTTGGAATGCAAAATGTGGCATTTTTCTCCAAAACCCCACAAGAAAGTGGCTCAGTCTCCAGCAACCAGCTACGTCCAAATTTTGTCAATAGACTCAATCAAGCCAGATTTTCTGTCTACTAGGGTCGTCTTCAGTATTGTGGTTACAGTTACCTAGGAAAGTATTAAGGTCATAAATAAGGGTGTTTAGCTCCAGTTGATATATATATGGATTATTCATCCTGTAGCAATATCATTTATGAAGTATTTCATCCCAGGAATGCAGTTTTTGGGTACATCAATATCATGTGCTTCATACTGACATTCAATGCATAAACTTTCCCGTATTTCATTCACCCTTAGCCATAACTTCAAATTATTCTGTAGTATCTCTAAATCTGCCCCTATTGTAAATACCACCTTCAAACATTCGAGATATTCATACCATCTTGATACTTTTTTTTTACCTTTCCACAAGTTTTAAAATATAAATATCGTCTCCAGTTTTAATCCCCTCTATCCTCACTGCAAAACCCCCTTGAAAAATGCTTACTGCCTTCACCACTAATTCCTTTCTCACTTCTGGCTCTTCCCTTTTCCTAACACTCATGAGTCCTTAGCTCCTTAAATGAAACCCCTGTCTCTATTTTGCTACATTTAACAACATCTTAAAATTTTTCCCTCTTCCAGGTAATATGTACCTCTTATGCATCATCTCACCACTTTCATATAACTGATAGGTTATCGATCTTAAATTTCTTAATCTTATTTTTCTCTCCAAAACCATTTCTTATTCTCATTTTGTTATTCTTTCTCATCTCTGCAGACTATTGTGTAAGCTATTCTCTCAAAACATATACATATATGGTAGACTAAGGCACAGATTCATGTAATGTTTTTTAATAAATTTTTAAAATAAAGCTAACTATTCGAAAAACTTAAGATCTGCAAGAACTCTATTTTTGAATGTCTTCCTTTAATAAGTTAGTATCTAACAGGACTGTATAAGCCCCGTTCATGTTTCTTAACAATCATGACGAGATATTGTTTAAAACAGATTAGCTTCAAATTCTTACCTACTATAATCACTATTTTAAAACTGTACATGATAATTTGACAATGTTGAGAATCACTAGAAGTTAACCAAGTGTGAGAGTCCCTTTATACAGTATTATCTGAAAATTGGAATTTTCTATACTACCAACAAGCAGATAGGTAAGACACATGTGCAACAGTTGAGAATCTCTTGTTACCAAAACAGTTTGCCTGCTCAACAGGCTTCTTCAGTTAAAATACAGAGGTGACTTACATACTGGGGAAAACAGAAGTAATGAAGAGGTAGATATGAGATGATCAGTCCCTCATCCTAAAATAAGAAGGAAGTTCAAGGTGGTCTGTCCCTCAGACTTGAAAAAGAAGTAAGTTCGAGGTGATCAGTCCCTCAGCCTTGATAATGTTCAGCTCTGTACTTTCTTTTTCAAGGTTGAGGGACTGATCACCTCTCATCTACCTCTCCACTACTTCTGTTGTCTCCAGTATTTAAGTCGCCTTTATATTTTATCTGAAGGAACTTGCTGAGGAAGCAAAATATTTCAGCAATAAAAGATACCCAACTGTACACAAATATTAAGAGATATCTGAAGGCAATGGAATATTTTGTGAACATCCACATAAATAATTAATAAGAAAATGGATAAGTTATTTACAAAGCTTCTTATACAAAAAGAAACCCCAGATCATTTTAGCCTAATGCTAAGGTTTAAAAGGGGAAACTATTATGACAAATGAAATAACATACAGTACAGTACTTCAAAAGATCTTAAGAAAATGGCAATCAAAATAACAGTTTGAATGCATCACTCAGACTTACCACACAGTCCTTCTGTTTTGTTGAAGTAAAGATTGGAAGGTAAACGGATGGAGAAGCCAAAGTTTTCAAGGAAGAAAGTCACTTCTAAATGAATCTCGGGAATGGCTACCATAATCTGATAAAAAAAAAAAAGTGATATACTATATAGCCAGTCAGACCTCCATATTTGCAGGTCACATTGCTGGTCTCCTGCAAAGTCAAAATCCTGAGTACGTACTATTAAATTCTATCCATGTAAACATGTTTGTTTCAGACTGAGGCATATCTTATGTTTTAGAGGTTACTTTAAATACTGTTATAACTTCATTAATATTAACATTCATAAGAGAATATCCAAAAAGACAAAAGATGTGGGCAGGGAAAATCTAAGGAGCACATTTTGAGTGAAATTCTTTGGTTGGGTTTTAATTTAGGGGTAGAAGGCCAAACTCAAAACAAAATAGGCCACTGCTTAAAACAGCAACTAATCAAAATTATTGACAGGAGTCCCTTCTGTAAAAATGTTGGATAATTGAATTGATAATGTGAAGATCTAGCTGTACTATACAAATAACATTCATGGCAAAAGTGTTGGACCAGATAAAATAAAATATTTTATGAATACCAAGCAACTGCTTTTCAGATGTCGTCATTACCATATAACCTTTCCAAGGAATGCAATGTCTCACATAAGAAAGGAATTATACAGACCACAAACTATTGACCCTACAGGTGAGATGTGAGTACATTACCCATACTCCACCAACATTTAAGAATTCTAACTGGAACCTTTATTGAGTCCTAGAGGTGTCATAGTCACTGCTCATATCCCAGGTCACAAAAAGCACATAGAGAGATAGGGAAACAACCAATCTTAGATGAAGTCAGATGTATTCTGAAGACTAGAGTATCTGACAATGTACTGTGAAAGACAAGACAAACACTTATAGTTCAACTCAACAAGATAGATCATACAAATATTTTAAATCAGCTACTGATACTTATGTGTCTACATATATATATGTACAAGTTGCAAAATGGTACTGACTACAGTCATTGGTGACTGCCATTTTATATTCAATAATTTTTTGTTTTCATACTACCCATAGATTTTTTGTTGCTGTACATTATTTTCAGTGTTTTATTCCAAGATTCTTTTTTTCCTGCAAACTATGCCATGCTATTTTTCATAAAAGTATGGTGGGCCTCTTGTCCACATTTCCCTTCTTCCCTAAACAATAATTACCCAAAGAGTGCAGCCATCATGAGACAATGATTCACTGAGCTACAACATCCCTACACAACTTTCAAAACACACATACTGTACCTCCCATCTCCAAAACTGAAGACTAGTTAATCAATTTCCTGAATCCCTTTATAGATACTATTTTTTTTTTTTGCAATAAGTTGGCCATCTCCCACCTAGGCGGGGTGACCCAAAAAGAAAGAAAATCCCCAAAATGAAAATACTTTCATCATCATTCAACACTTTCACCTCACTCATACATAATCACTGTTAACCCTTTCAGGGTCCGTCCCGTAGATCTACGGCTTCACGTTGAGTGTCCAAAACGTAGATCTACACCAAAATTCTAGCGCCGTCAAATTTAGCGCAAAAATGCTCATAGGCCTACATGTGAGAGAACGGGTCTGCGTGGTGGGTGTGCACCATAAACAAAAAATCTAGGCGCCCGCATAGCATTGTAGGAACGCCAGCTCAGTTACCCTTGTTCACCATGCCTCGTCGCAAGTCAGCTCTCACTCCCCGGAAAATTGGGACTCTCCTCTTCCTATCTGATAGTTCTGACAATGATGGAAGTGGAAATGAAGACGAATTCTACGGCTTTGATCAGTTAGTGACCGAAAAGAATGACCAGGATATCGATAATAGTGCAGAAAATCCTGACGATCCTCAACCTTCTACCTCTGGTGTGGGCACTCGTGACTCACAGTCGGTTGTTCCTCAATGCAAGAGAAAACTAATATTTTCGCGTGGCCAGGCCTTTGAATTCAGTAATGATGATGATAGTGACGTGGATTGTGATTTTATTGCGCTTGACGATCATTCGAGTAGTGATAGTGAGGAATCATATTCACCAGTGAAGCGTCAGTATGTTCGCCGCCGCATGCACTCGGGTAGTGTACCCTATGCTGTGCCCAGGGGACGGAGTACATCCCGGAGTACATCCCGTGGCCCTACAACCAGTTTTTAGTAGTGATAGTGAGGATGATGTGGCTACACTTGGCATGGATAGACCACAGGCATCAGTGGATGGTGTTAGTGGTGATGGTAGTGGCACCGCCATGCGTGACTCACCAGCCCACGCTGGGACCCACGCTGCTGACTCGTCAGTTCAAGGACAAAGCGGAGCGTCAGCCACCAGCCCACCACAACCACAACCACCCGCACAACCAGCCTATGATGTCCAGTATCCACCAGCAAACCGTATGTGGGATTGGCAGCAAAATCCCAATTTTGTTCCCAAGCCTCACCACTTTGATGACTCTCAAAGTGGAATTCTATCTACTTGTCCCCTTGGAACTGGAATTCTTTGAATTAGTCTTTGACCAGCCATTGATGGAAACTATTGTCAGGGAAAGTAATAAGCATTTTGAGTACACCATGGCAAATAAGATCTTATCACCACAGTCAAGACTACACAGGTGGAAAGAGACGACTGTTGCAGAAATGTATTTGCTTTTTGCAACAATAATGCTTATGCCTCATGTGTATAAGCATAATATAAAAGCATACTGGTCCACAGATCAGCTAATTTCTACCCCGGTCTTCAGTGAAATCATCCCAGTGAACAGGTTTATCTTACTCTTATGTATTTTGCACTTCTCTGACAAAACCAGGCCTGACAGAAGTGACAGGTTATACAAGATTAGAAATGTTTTCATGTATCTCAAACAAAAGTTCAGCATATACTTTTATCCATTCAAGAATCTTGTAATTGACGAGTCTTTGATTTTGTTCAAAGGTAGACTGTCATTCAAGCAGTACATACCGAGCAAGAGGAAACGCTTTGGTATAAAACTGTTTGTACTCTGTGACTGTGACAGTGCCTGGTGTTGGATATTGTTGTATACACGGGTAGTAAAACATTGAAAGATACCAAGATGTTATTGGGTATCTCAGGTGACATAGTGAGAAACATGATGGCACCTTATCCTGGTAAGGGGCATACATTATATACCGATAACTGGTACACAAGCCCATTACTCAGTGATTTCATGCGAGTGAACAAGACATGTGTGTGGCACAGTGCGTTCTAATCGTAAACATATGCCCAGGCTCAACGCAGGTGCTTGTGGTGATGACGTGCAGGTGTTTACTGCCAATGACATCATGGCATTACGGTGGCATGACAAACGAGATGTCACATTGTTGACAACCATTCACCGTAATGAAATGCAAGACAGTGGCAAAGTTGATCGAGTGACTAATGAATGTATTCAAAAACCAGTGACAGTGATTGATTATACACAAAACATGCGCTTGGTTGACAAATGTGACATGCAGATGGTTTTTGTTGACTGTTCGTAAGAGTTACAAGTGGTATATGAAACTTTTCTTCCATCTCATGGACATTTCATTGCTCAATGCATATAATATGTACCAAATAAAGACTGGCAACAGACCACCGTATGGTGAATTTTGTTTGTCTGTTGTCAGACAACTCATAATGAAGTACAGGTAAGAACACCTGCTATACAACAGGTCCTCGAATTCCTCAGAATATACCCAAGCGTTTGAGGAGGGAAGGTGATCATTTCATAATACAACTTCCTTCAACTCAGAAGAAATTTGCTCAGAAGAGATGCATCGTCTGTGCACAAACAAAACGACGGCAACAAAGACGCAAAGACACTCGGTTTTATGTGTGAGGAATGTAAGGTGCCTCTGTGCATGGTGCCTTGTTTCAAGGAGTTCCACAAGCTCCAGCAGTTCTAAAACCATGTCTGGTGATTGTAAATATGTAAATATATGATAGAACATTAGTATTATACAAGATTTGTGCATGTTTATTGTAATAAACACAGTGGTAAACAATAATATGATAATAACTTTAGTGCAGATATTGTGTTCAATACAGTGAGTTTATATATATACATTATATACAGTATTGGTCTCTCAGGCCCCAAATGTTAGTAGGAATAGAAAAAAATTGGAAAAGAAAAGAAAAAAAATGTAAAAAAACCGAAAATAATGTAATGTGCGTATGTGCCGCCACCACATCATTTTTGACAAACTTCTTGGCACTGTATTTCGGTAAGTACTGATCAGAATTTTTTTTTTTGTCTTATTACCTTCACAAAAATATGCTCTTTAATTCTGTAAGAAAAAATTATTTTTTTTTTTTTTTCAAAATTTCTTGGACACTGGTGCGTGACTTCAGATTTTGGCCTTGGACCCTGAAGGGGTTAATACTATAGTAGTATTTAATATATTCACACTGTCAAGTCATGGAAGATACTAAAGACCATTCACCCAATATAACATATTCACACATACCTCTGAATACTTAAGCAATTACTCCTTGGTTCCTCTCTACACTACTTTCCATCCACCCCAGATTTATATTCTTTTTGTTTTTATCAGCTTATCTTACCCTATTCTTTTTCAGTGAGCAAACCATCACAACAACCCCTCTCCTGCTCCTTGAATTATACTGTACCTTTCATACCACCACATCATTTAATTTCTTACAATTCCTTGTCACAACATTCAAAGATATGTTTCAACTCCTCATAAAAGTCTTGACACCATTACACAGTAGTCTGATATGTATGATTGCTACCAGTATGTGACAATTTACTAATATGCTTCATAGCTGCAAATGTATTTCTGGGTAACAAGAAATTCTTGAAAAATCTATTGAAATCTTCAGTAAGTCAAATTAAATATATTCTAACAAAACATTTGAAGAGTTTAAAAAGTAAGAAGAGAGTACAGTAGAACCCACATATCCAGTGATTCGATATCCATAATTTCAGTTATCCATGGTTTACTGTGGCCCAAAAATACCTAAGAGAAGCAATGAAGTGCTTTCCATCAGTGAAAAAGTGATAATTCTACACTTATTAATTAAACTTTACAATAGGTATGTATAGGACTTATATATAGGGTTTGCCACTATCCAGGGTTTAGGCATCCACAGCAGGTCCTTGGAATGTATTCCCCACAGATATGGGGGGTCCTACTGTATTGATATAATAAGGCATAAAATTAAAAAGAGTAGAATGACAAAATAGTTTAAGATTCAGATAAGTTAAATATGAGCAAGTCTCCTTACACTTGTTGCTCCTATTCACCTAGCAGTAAGTAGGTACCTAGGTGTTAGTCACTTGTTATGGGTTACATCCTGCACTTTGAAATGGGTTGAGGTAAAATAGCCTGTAATATTTTTTATTATCATACAATAGTGCAATGTTGGTATAGCTAGAGTAAAGTAGATAGAGTAATAAAGATGCAAGTTTCTCAAGTAATATATAATTTAATTAATAATGAGTTACATATAATAATAAAAATATTGATTAACATACCTGTGAAGGATCTGGCTGTTCAACTGCTAACCACGGCTCTCGGTGAGGGAAGCTGGTCACTTCATCTTCATCAATAATCAGTTTGACAGTATCTACTCCGACAGCAGAGATAAAGACCGTATGAAAGTTGAAGAGGACAGTTACGGCATCAGTACAAACAGTGACAGGTATCTGGGTACATCGCTTGTTACGCGTGATCACCTGTCACACAAAATATCTATGAGTTTTTATGCATAAAACACAAACAAATTTCAAAATACAAATTAAAGATATTTTCTTTTAACACGTCGGCTGTCTCCCACCGAGGCAGAGTGACCCAAAAAAGAAAGAAACACTTTCACCATCATTTAACACTCACCATCATTCATACAAAATCACTGTCTTTGCAGAGGTGCCCAGATATGACAGTTTAGGTGTGGCTAAGGCATTTCTGGAGAATAATAATAATAAAAGTATTTTCTTTTTAGGGATTTTCTTTCTTTTTGGGTCACCCTGCCTCAGTGTGAGACGGCCGACTTGTTAAAAAAAAAAAAAGTAAAACATCTAGCAGGCATGTGTGAGTGTGTTAGATAGGAGTAAATGGAGATGAATGGCTTTTGGGACTTGACAAGCTGTTGGAATGTGAGCAGGGTAATATTTTGTGAAGGGATTCAGGGAAACTGGTTAGCCGGACTTGAGTCCTGGAGGTGGGAATACAATGTCTACACTTTATAGGAGGGGTTTGGAATATTGGCTATTTGGAATGACATCTGAACTGCTGTATCTGAGCACCTCTGCAAGACAGTGATTATGTGTGAATATCTGGGTCACCCTGCCTCGGTGGGAGAACAGCAGGTGCGTAAAAAAAAAAAAAAAAAAAAAAAATAATAAACCCTCGATTTAATAATTTTGGATTCAAGGAAAAAATCTGTGGTTGGACAACATCTAAAGTCCATTAAACTCAAAACTGTCCATTACTATTATGATTGGGTAAATTTTATTTGAATTTAACTAACAAAGTCCTTTAAATCAGAATTGTCCATTAATTTTATTATAATTTTGAATTTAACAGACAAAGTCTCTTAACTTCAGAATTGTTTGCTATTGTGGTCTGCTTGGAAAATTGATTTCCAGATTTAACAAAGCCCCTTAAATCCAGAATTGTCTGCTACTGTTGCAATCATGCAAGAACAATCTCATCATTCAGTGTTAACAAACACCCTCTTTCCCTTTTAGCTTTTTAAATCAAGGGCTTGCCGAAGGTATACAGTATGTAATGCTGTACAAGGTACAGCATTAAATTTGTCTTGTCAATTTCTAAAATAATGTAATAAATGATTTAAGGATTCTTAATATATTTTGATATACAGTACATTGGAACCTTGGTTTTCGTGATTAATCCGTTCAAAAAAAGTCTGATGAAAACCCGAATCGTACAAAAACTGAAGCAATATTTCCCATAAGAAATAATGTAAATCAAATTAATCCATTCCAGACACCCAAAAAAGTTAACAAAAAATACATTTTATAGAGAATAACTATAGTTTTACATACAAACTAGGGCATATGAAAACTGAGGTTCCACTGTATTCTTAAAGTTAAATTACTGATGGCACACCTGGAATTTATGTTGACCTCGAGCATTCATGTCTCGTGCAGCAATGTAAGAACATTCTCCATTGAAGGTGTAATTATATCGATCAAAGGTCATGTAGTGTGGGTCACCATAACCTTCACAAATACAATCTCGACACTGTTCAGGAGCAACACAGCGGTCTCCCTTGCGTACCAAACCAGGGCTACAGAAGCAGCCAGGGATGCAAGAACCCTCCTCTTCTGGACAAAGAATTTCATCATGCTGATTCTCACAACTCTTCTCACATTTGGCACGGTAACAATCTTGATAAATCTCACCTGGTCCACATTGTTTATCTGCAGATTACATAATGCACTTAGGGTAACAGTGTACATTAAAAAAAACATTAGAAGGTTATTCATTTCCTGACCAGAAACTTGCATCATTTACTATTACATTTTCTTTCATTTTGAAGGTTATAATGATTTGTTTGATTTATTTTATAATTGTAAGCAGAAAGTTTTTCTTAAAGGCTCTGAATACGAACAAGTAACAAAACATGTCTCCACCACTGGAATTAAAATATGTGAAATTTTACCTCAAAATAAAAAATTGGCAAGGATGCCTTTACTAGACATTTCCCTCTCAGCAAACATTGCTAAGTATTTTAACTGTTTTCCAAATTATTATAAGTTTATGTCACTCCAAACAAGAGTGTAGCATCCATAAACTAAAATTTTATCAACACACAAAGCCTAAATAGGCATGAGCTGGACTTCATAATTTCAGTAATTACCCACAATAACCTATTATTGTATTATTCATACATTTTCCATCAAGTGAAGTCTTGGGGCTACTAACACTACTCCTCAGTAAATGAATCTGTATGTGAAAAATAACAAGTATAGTCATCATCCTCGTACACAATATGACTCAACTGTTTCCCATTCAACTTATTCCCATATTTGTTATTATGTTAAGACCTAAGGAGAGTATGATGAACATTCACTTTTTCAGATTACTTGTTGTTTAAAACAGCTCTTCATCATGCTTATATTATGATGATTATATCATGTAAATTCATGATATAAGCATAATGAAATGTAATCCACATGGTGACTCTGGTCAAGGGTTACTAGTCTTGTTAATCCATAATACATGTACATGTATAATGATCTGACTTATTCATCTTCTATCTCTCTGTCATAACAGTTCTTGATAGGATGAAGCAATGTCTTAAGATTTAACACCAGTTTTCAGGTTAGTTATGAAATAATTTTGAGATGAGTTAACCTACAGTACTTCATTTTATATTTTTTTACACCATTGGTCATCTTTTTATCACTGTAGAGTGATGCAAAAAGCTCACATAAAATAAGCTATAAAACAATAGTGTATAAATTTGTGGCTTTATGAACTAAGCTAACATATGTATTTTAGATTAAGTAAAGTGGGGGTGATTTATTTATGTAATATCTAAAAGAATCTATAGATCTATAGCTAGTAACAAAGCCAGGTAAATGAACTCATGTCTCACTTGTCCGAGGTCATTGTTTGAGCCTTAAGAGGCTTTATAAAAAATTTGTTTCATATCTGCGTGCCTCTGGCAAGACATTCATAGTGTGAATGATAGTGAGAGTGTTTCTTTTTGGGTCACCTTACCTCGGTGAGAGACGGCCAATGTGTTAAAAAAAAAGAAGACTTACAGCATTTAGCAATGAAACGCCAATTAGAGACAGGAGCTTCAGGGTTCTTCTCTAGGCAACTGGCGATGTAACGAGTAAGTGCCTGGCACCGGCACTGCTCTTCTTCGGTGTCGCTGTTCAAACATTCACACATGGAATCTACACATCCCTTCATAAATGGTGTTGGGTCAACAGTGCTGTGGCATTCAGTGAATGGTCTTAATCTGTAGCAAGTGGCAGAATATCAACCATTGTTAGTACACAGGAAGTCAACAGAAGAAACAAAAACTGTTATAAGGAAGTTTTAAAAAAAACAAAATGTGTTGCTAGGAAACAACTATCTAAATAATTACTGAATTATTCTTTTATTATCAAACAGGGTCCTTTGTTTGACATTAAAAGCACATTCACATAAAATTTAAATTACTGAATATAAGTAGTAGTAGGTTGGTAGACAGCAACCACCCAGGGAGGTACTACCATCCTGCCATGTGAGTGTACAACGAAAGCCTGTAATTGTTTTACATGATGGAAGGATTGCTGGTGTCTTTTTTCTGTCTCATAAACGTGCAAGATTTCAGGTACGTCTTGCTACTTCTACTTACATTTAGATCACACTACATATACATGTGCACATTTATGTATACAGTTGACTCTCGCCTAACGAACGCATCGCATAACGTTAAATCCGCCTAGCGATACATTTTAACGCAAAAATTTTGCTTCGGCTAGCGCTAAAAAACTCGCTCAACGCGATTTGTTCGAGACGCGTCCACATGCGGCCTGAGCCCGCCTCACTTGTTCTGTGGGTGCCAGTGTTTACAAGCCAGCCATCGCAGTCGCTTCCAAGCATACAATCGGAACATTTCATATTATCACAGCCTTTTTAGTGATTGCACCTGCAAAATAAGTCACCATGGCTCCCAAGAAAGCTTCTAGTGCCAACCCTACAGCAAAAAGGGTGAGAATTACTATGGATATGAAGAAAGAGATCATTGCTAAGTATGAAAGTGGAGTGCGTGTCTCCGAGCTGGCCAGGTTGTACACAAAACCCCAATCAACCATCGCTACTATTGTGGGCAAGAAAACGGCAATCAAGGAAGCTGTTCTTGCCAAAGGTGCAACTTTGTTTTTGAAACAGAGATTGCAAGTTATAGAAGATGTTGAGAGACTGTTATTGGTGTGGATAAACGAAAAACAGATATCAGGAGATAGCATCTCTCAAGCGATCATATGTGAAAAGACTAGGAAGCTGCATGAGGATTTAATTAGAAAAATGCCTGCGACTAGTGGTGATGTGAGTGAATTTAAGGCCAGCAAAGGTTGGTTTGAGAGATTTAAGAATCGTAGTGGCATACATAGTGTGATAAGGCATGGTGAGGCTGCCAGTTCGGACCACAAAGCAGCTGAAAAATATGTGCAGGAATTCAAGGAGTACATAGACAGTGAAGGACTGAAACCTGAACAAGTGTTTAATTGTGACAAAACAGGCCTGTTTTGGAAGAAAATGCCAAACAGGGCCTACATTACTCAGGAGGAAAAGGCACTCCCAGGACATAAGCCTATGAAAGACAGGCTTACTCTGTTGATGTGTGCCAATGCTAGTGGTGATTGCGAAGTGAAGCCTTTATTGGTGTATCACTCTGAAACTCCCAGAGTGTTCAGGAAAAACAATGTCCTCAAGGCTAATTTGTGTGTGCTGTGGAAGGCAAACAGTAAGGCATGGGTCACTAGGGACTTTTTCTATGAAATGGTTACACCATTTCATTTTCCCCCCCTGTGAAAAATTACCTAATTGAAAAGAAATTAGACCTTAAGTGCCTCCTGGTATTATACAATGCTCCTGGTCATCCTTCAGAAGTGGCAGAGCGACTTTCTGCAGAAATGAGCTTCATTAAGGTCAAGTTTTTGCCTCCTAATACCACTCCTCTCCTGCAGCCCATGGATCAGCAGGTCATTTCCAACTTCAAGAAACTGTACACAAAAGCTATGTTTGAAAGGTGCTTTGTAGTGACCTCAGAAACTCAATTGACTCTAAGAGAGTTTTGGAGAGATCACTTTAGCATCCTCAATTGTGTAAACATTATAGGTAAGGCTTGGGAGGAAGTGACTAAGAGGACCTTGAACTCTGCTTGGAAGAAACTGTGGCCAGAACGTGTAGACAAAAGGGATTTTGAAGGGTTTGAGGCTAACCCTGGGAATCCTATGCCAGTTGAGGAATCCATTGTGGCATTGGGGAAGTCCTTGGGGTTGGAGGTTAGTGGGGAGGATGTGGAAGAGTTGGTGGAGGAGGACAATGAAGAACTAACCACTGATGAGCTGCTAGATCATCTTCAACAGCAAGAGGCCAGACCTGAGGAATCTGCTTCAGAGGAGGGGATAGAGAAATTGAAGAAGCTGCCTATTTCAAAGATTAAGGAAATGTGTGCAATGTGGCTTAAAGTGCAAACCCTTTTTTTTTTGAAATCACCCTCCACAGCTATTGAAAGCGTGTGGTGACTATTACACTGAAATGTTGTTAAACTTTTTAGGAAAGTCATAAAGGAAGGGGAGGTACAGGCCTCTATGGACGGGATTGTTGGCGACAGAGGTCCGTGACTCTAAGTGGTCTTGTGGCATTAAAGAAGAGGGAAGTAACCTGGAAAAGGATTGCCACCCTAAGCCCAAAGGGAAAGGGGGATTCCCCTTCAAAACTTAAAACCCCGCCCCACAGTTCCCTCCCCCCTCCCATCAATATATTTCAAAAAAGGTAAGTGTCATGAAACTGTGCTGTCTTCTCAGTTTGTGTGTAAAAAAATTTAAATTTTTCTGGGGTTAAATTTTTTTTTTTCTTCATACTTTGGGGTGGGTCGGGAACGGATTAATTTGATTTCCATTATTCTTTGGGGAAATTAATTCGCCTTAATGATAATTTCACCTAACGATGGATTCAGGAACGGTTAATAGCGTTGGGCCCGGGGTCCCTTTTACACATTCGAATTTTCTTAATAGTTTTGTTCTTATTGCTTTTCCTTGTACATCCAGGGGGAAAGTGGAATAGAATTTTTCCCTCCGTAAGCAGGGTGTTGTAAAAGTCGACAAAAATGCCGGGGAAATAAAGGAGCTAGTAACCCTTTTCCCTGTATCCCTACTAAAAAGAAAAAAAAAGAAAACCTCAAAGTGGGATGTTGAATGTGCGGGATGTTGCGTGAATGATAAAAAGAGAAAATTGTGGCTGTTATAAATGGAAAAAGCTGGATGCCCTGGCTTTAAGGAAACAAAGCTGAAGGGTGGGGGTTTCGGGGGGAGAAATAAATGGGATTGGTCGGGGTTTTCAAATGGGTTTTTAGAGCAAAAGAAGGAGGCAATAATGTTGAAAGATAAGTTTTGGCAGGAAGATGGAATTAAATGTTTAATTCAAGGATTATGTAGAGTAAAATAAGGGTTCGATTGGAAAAATGGGTTATAGTAAGCGTTTATGCCCCCTGGAGAAGAGAAAAGTTTTGGGGGAGAGAGAGAGATTTTGGGAAATTTTGAGTGATTTTTTGGGGGGGTTTTGAATAAAGTGTGAGAGTAGTGGGGTTTGGGGGGATTAATGCAAAAGTGGGTAAAAATGTTGTGGGGGAGTAGTAGGTAAATTTGGGGTGCCAGGGGTAAATAAATGGGGAACCTTTAACCTTTGCTTTTTCCCGAGTATAAATACTCTTAGGGCCCAATGTTTCTGACGTATTTATACGAAAATTCTAGGGGCTTCAAATCAAGCGCGAAAGGCCGGGTAGGCCTACATGGGGAGAATGGGTCTCAGTGGTCGGTGTGCACCCTGTGAAAAAAATCTGGGACCCAGCGGTGCTTTGTGGGAACGCCATGTGGTTAGCCATTTTCACCATGCCTCCGGAAAGAAGTTCCTCACCCTGGCGGTTGGAGGTCTTTTTGTTTCCAAGTGATACTTAACAGCGAGGGAAAATGTCAGTGACAGTAAATTCCGGGGGTTTTGAAGTGAGTGTTACCGGAAAAAAATGCCCAGGATCCTGGAGTTTACCGGGGATAACGTAATTGTGATGAAAAACCCAGATGCCCCACAACCTTCCCCCTTGGTGCTGGGCCGGCTTGTTCACGTTCACGTTCGCCTGTACCAGGAGAAAGGGGAAATCTATTTGGTGTGTAAAAACCCCCAGATGTTACAGTGATAGTGATAGTGATTTCAAGGTCATTGAAAGCGTTCTAGTGACAGTGAGAGTGAAAATTCCCCAGTGAAGCGGCAGTATGTACGACTAGCATGCGGTCTGGTAGTGTTTCATATGTTGTTCCAAAAGGGGAAGGGAAACTCGGGGAGCACATCCCTGGCCCACACCATGATGATAGTGAGGTGACGATTTTGAACAATGGGTATGAATGTGTGAGTGAGGGAGCAGGCGTGGTGGTGTAGTGGGGGGCAGGGCCCCCATGTGGCCATGGGGGCCCCCGAAACCCCCACGCTGCTGACCTGACAAAACCATTTCTCACCTACCCACACTCCAAAAACCTGCGAAACCCAAAACCCGGGTAAAATACCCCGACCCCACGCAGACCGCTTTGGGATTGGCGGGCGGTGAAGTTTTTTCCACCCCCCATGACTTTGATGAAAACAAAGTGGATAAAGCCATTTGTCCACTTGGGAACAAGCGTGAAGGGATGTTTTTGGTTATTCTTCGTAAACCCCCCTGATGGACATCATTGTCGGGGAAAAAAAAAACCATCGTGATTACCCCATGGAAAACAATTCTCTCCCCAAAAATAGGCTACACAAGTGGGGGGAAAAAAACTGTGGCAGAGATGTACCTGTTTTTTGCCACATAATGCTTTGCCACGTGTTTAAGCACACTGTCACCCATATGGGCAACAGAACCCTGATTTCAACCCCAGGTTTTAGGACATTATAGGTGTCAATTTTTCCCTGTACTGTTACATATGTTCATTTTCAGACAAAAACAGGTCTGACGAGCGACAGGTTTATATAAGATCAAAAAAATGTTTTTTATGTACCTGAAAAAAAAAGTGTGCATGTATTTTTTACCCTTCAGGAAGCTTGTTTTGATGGTCTTGATTTTATTAAAAGGAGACTTATTCAAGCAATATATACCAAGAAAAGGAAAAGCTTTGGTATAAAGCTATTTTTATGTGTGATTGCGAAGTGGTCTAGTTTTTGGATTCATTGTGTACACTGGGAGTAAAACTTTGAGAAATACATACCTGAAGTTATTGGGTA